CCCCACACAGCCCGCCCGCCCACCTGCAGGGCCCACCGACGCTCCAGGGCGTTTATGTGGCTCATCCCAGCGCAGCCTCCTCAGCTGCTGACGTGCAGATCCTCGGAAGTGACTTCCGTTCTGATCAGGGTATTGCCAGCCAGTGGAGGGAGAGCTTCCCTGCTCCCTCTGCAGCCCCAAGGAGGTAACTCGGGGCCACTCACGGGGGTTTAGGCAGATGTTTCCGCCGGGTGGGGCGGCTGGGGAATTGGCCTTTAGGGACGTACAGTCTCACTGAGTCTGTGTCCTCAGCTGACAGAGCTGCTGAGCGTGACTGTCGTCTGGACTTTGGGGGGCGGGGCGGGGGGGGCCCTGGCGGTGGCCTTGGCTCTGGTTCGGAGGTTAAGTTAGCACCAGGGGCGCGGCACAGGGCACAGGGTGCGTCGAGTTATCCCGTGTAAAAGGCTAAGTGACCGGCCGTACGTACGTCCGACCACCCGGCCAGTACATAGGACATGCACTGGCAATTTAAAAATGAACGATGACTTGCGCACGCACAATACGTATAAGCTCTCGGAATGGGTATTAGTGAAATCCCCCGTGAAATGACTTGGATCCATTATTGAAGCTATCTTTGCAAATAGCATATCTATAGATAATATTTTAAAAAATCTAAATGTGCGATTCTTTGTCCTAAAAATGAGCGCGTTCATAAATTAAATGAAGACATTTTGGATATACTTGGTGGAGATTTTCACACCTATTTGAGTGCTGATTCCATCGATTCAATGGATGATGCTGAAAGGAAAATTTTCCCATCGAATTTCTCTTTTTTTTTTTTTTTAATATATTTTTTTGATTTTTTACAGAGAGGAAGGGAGAGAGATAGAGAGTTAGAAACATCGATGAGAGAGAAACATCGATCTGCTGCCTCCTGCACATCTGCTGGGGATGTGCCCGCAACCAAGGTACATGCCCTTGACCGGAATCGAACCTGCGACCTTTCAGTCCGAAGGCCAACACTCTATCCACTGAGCCAAACCGGTTTCGGCAGCATCGAATTTCTTAATAGTATTATTCCTTCAGGAATGCCGTGTCATAAGTTAAAATTGAAAGTAGACACAATCATCATGCTACTGAGAAATCTTAATAGTACATGGGGTCTTTGTAATGGCACTAGATTCATTATCAAAAGATTGCGACCTAACATAATCGAAGCTGAAGTATTAACAGGATCTGCAGAGGGAGAGGCTGTTCTGATTCCAAGAATTGATTTGTCCCCGTCTGACACTGGCCTCTCATTTAAATTAATTCGAAGACAGTTTCCCATGATGCCAGCATTTGTGATGACAATTAATAAATCACAAGGACAAACTCTAGACAGACTAGGAATATTCCTACCTGAACCCGCTTTCACACATGATCAGTTATATGTTGCTTTCTCTCGAGTCGAGGAGCGTGTAACATTCAAGTTAAAGTTGTAAATACTTGATCACAAGGGAAATTAGTCAAGCACTCAAAGTGTTTTTACTCTTAATGTGGTATACAGGGAGAGATTAGAATAAGTTTAATAAATTTATCAGTCATTGTTTTTATCAATGTTTTTATATCATTTTTGTTTTTAGATCATGTTTTTTGTTTTTATGTCATATCTTTGTTGTTATATCATGTTATTGCTTATTAATCAACTTATATATTTTCAGATACATTTTACTAATTTCCTTTCATCTCTGACACTCCTACTACAGAGAAAGGGCGAATAGCGATATTAAAATATTTCTTCTAATTAATTTCCTGTCAGTGTGCACGAATCCATGCACCAGCCACTAGTTTCAAAATAAAAGGTTTCTTTAAAAATTGTGGGAAACACTCTCATTGGTTTTAGCAAAGGGAAAAGGCAATTTGCTGCCGTGAGTTACCCTTTCATTTTTTAATAGTTTAGGCTCTGACCCTGCGCAGGTGGGGGCGTGGCTTCCCCTGGGGAAGGAGGGGGCTCCTGGGGGACAGCGGTTCTGGGACCTGCCTCTGCAGGGCCGGGCTGGCTCGGCTTGTGGACAGGTGCTGTGGTTGGGGCCCACTCGGCCTCAGGGGCCTCTGGCGCAGCTCCAGCCGCGGCTGCCCTTTGGGACTGTCCACCTCCGCAAACAGGCTGAGCCAGCAGCTGCCTCTCCCAGCCCAGGCCTCCCGCCCTCCCTGTGGCCGCTCGAGAGCACTTCCCTCACCCACTGGGGCTGGGGGTGGGAGGGGGCGGAGGTGCTCTCCTGAGGAAGCCCAGGCCAGCCCGCCCGGGCCTCTGCTGTGATCATGCTGGGTGGCTGCACCCCCTCCCTCCCAGCCAGCAGCCTCCACATCCCAGGCCGCGTGAGCTCTGGGGACAGAGCAGCGACACCACCCAAGTCCCGCTCCCCTGGGCCTCACCCCAGGCCCAGTCAGAGCAGCTTTCTGATGAAGGAGCGGACG